TGAAAGAAGGAATGGATCTTTCTTGTTCGCTGTATCTTTAGCATGTGTGGCACTAATAAGCGATCAATGCATATTTTTTAACTGATATTAATAAAGTCCAAATTTAATCAACCTTTACTGAATAGATTGATGAATTCTAAATCCATATCTCTACCTTGCGCTGACATTCTCAAATGTCCAACAGGTATTTACACATGTCTAATGGGCATTTCCACTTGAGTGGCTAGAATACAAATAAACACATTCATTTCTGCCACACACTCACTCTTCCTCTCCTCTTCCCTCTCTTCCTCAAATTAGTTAAAACTATTGAGGTGACCTATTGGATTTATACCACAGAAAATAAAGTCCAAATTTCTTGGTATCTAAAACACATTGTGTGGAAAATATTATTCAGAAAAATGATCATTTCCTTATTTTTTACCAGTAACTTAAATCAGGGAATAATTATTATCGGGAGCAAATTTTTATTCCAAGATTGCTTTTTTTGCCTCTATCAGCCATCCCAAGATGTCATTAGCAGTGTGCAGTAGTGAAAATGATCCTTAGTAACTCTTAACCAAATATCATTAAGTAGCATAATTAGTAAATTTTCTCCACAAAAACATACAACATTTTGCAAAGTCAAATAGAATCAATTTTTGAAGTTTCTGTAGGCTTTAATTATGTATATGGTTATTGAATTCAGGTCTTTCAGAATGACAGAATTCTAATGACCCTAAATTATAAAAAAATTAGAACAATAAAAGAAATAGGTCTTCAGATGTCTTTCCTCATAATACAGGCATAACAAATTGTGACTAGTCAAAGCCCACTTTTTACATAAATCGTATCAATAATTGGTTACACTTAGATGTAGTTTGGTTTCTGGTGCATGTCTGTTTTTCTTACAAGCTCCTGAGGGGCCAGTGTATTTTGTGTATCTTTCATGTTTAGCACCCAAAAAGTACTTCTGCTGCTGCCTTAGGGTAGCTAATTTGGAATTTAAATTTATTCAATTCAAATTATAAAGGTTGGAAGGCCTTGGAAATACAGAATCCTTATGAAACTGGGAAACTGTATTCTAGAAGGATTCCCCAAGTTTGCAGCTGTTTGGAGCATGGTTGGCACTAGAACCCAGTCATTGTATGAACCAAAATTTTTATGAAAGAGAACAGTGCTATCTATGTTTTAGAAACTTATTAAGCAATTATTTCCTTGCTGATGGAGATGTAAAGAAGAATACTACTTATCTGGTTTGTCTTTGAAATTAATATCAGAAACCATTTGGGAAATGTAGCTCTTCAATATGTCCAGTGTTTATTGTATCTCTTACCTGATGTGTACCTTGGTTCTGTATTTCTGCTTCATAATTAATGAACATTGTTTGCCGTACTTGCAGTGTAAATGAATCTGAGCCTTCTTTTGAAGCAACCAGAAGGTATTATTTCTATTTTAACCTGAGTTTAATAAGAATAACTTCCTTCCTCAGACTTTAATCTCTTTAATCTAATTTTGTTTATTCTGATGATGTATAGTTATTTATTAAAGTGTGCTAGCATATTTCCAGCAGCAGTGGTTCGCAACCTTGGCAAACTGCTAAAAGAATTAATTTACCAAACAAAGTGGCTCCTTGTGTCAACTATTTTCCTCTCACTGAGTCACACATGTCCCAACTTTGGCTGAAACTCAAACCGTCCTCAGTAAACTGGGTTTCGGATTTCATAAAATAAAAATGTAAGAATGAATACATATATTGATTTTGAGTTAAACAGTGATGGGACCAATCTGTAAGGTGGAGACGAAGAGCCAAGTGCTTTATCTACTTAAAAGGAAAAACAAAAACAAAAACCTTAAATACCCAAGTGGGGTGGGGAGGGAAGGCAGACATGTCAGAGGTTGGGAACCATTGTTTTACTATACATATGATTATCTCAGAAACTGCTAGCATACTATATATTATCATGTCTCCTGCACTCCTAAGATGTAATGTTTTAGAAAGATCATTGAACATTTCTAACTACTCTCTTTTTTAACTCTTCTCTCTTTTAACCCTATTTCCTTCATTAGTACTTTACAGATCATGAACTAACTGTAGAAATCTGACTTTTAAACTGACCTGCCCTCTACCCCACCCCAATCCCATCATCCTCTTCAGCTCACATGTATTTTGCTAACTTTTGGAAATTAAAGTCTGATGTATAGCCATCTGTTAGAATTTG